TCAAGGGTATGTTATTATAGATGCAAAAAGACAGGCTCAGTTAAGGTAAAGGTTGACCTTGTCAGTGAAGATACTGGTCTAGGATGTAACCACCCACCATAACTTTAATTTCCGACCATCCTTTGTGGTTACTATAGTTCTCTGAGTTTGCAAGATCGTCATGCAGGCCTCCCCTGAGCTCGTCAGGTTAGCACGTGGTCCCTTTTGTCCACACCTGGTTCATAGGTCAATGCTCAACCATCCCACCAGGCCAGCTGGGCTCAAGCTGCTCTTAATGGTACCTGAGGCTGGTCCACAGGTCCTCCGGGCGCTGGTGCATCGTGGGAGGCTCACATCGCCCTCTGGCGGCGTCGGAGAGAACTGCGTGCTCCCTCCTCCCGCGGGGCCCGAGTGGGTGTGGAAACCTCCATCCTCCCCCGCCCCCGCGCTACAGTATTTACTTTCCTTGATGTCTTCCGGCCCGCGCCCGGAAGTTGGCGGAGATGACCATAGAAACTGGTTGCTAGAGGTGCCCGGATTTGCCCTCTTGGTCCTCACTTCCGCCGGAAGTAACCTCCAGTCGCAATTGCCCTCTCTGCACGCGCGGGCATCGGGTACCTTGCACCGGTACTCGGGGCGTGAGTACGACCACAATGGCCGTCACCACCTTGCTGCGCGCGACGCCCCTCTTCAGCGGTGAGGAGGCGGGGAGGGCGATGACACGTGGGGGTCCGGGGACACGTGGGGGTCGTCGGGAGTGGCCGAGCTCCGACCCGCGCCCTGACTGCACGCCTCTGCCCCGGCAGGTCTCGGCGCCGGCCCGACCCCACTCCTGCAGGGCCTGTTGCGGCCGCTGACGGCCCCGGCACTGACCCTCTTGTGCCGCGGCCTGGCCGTGGAGGCCAAGAAGACCTATGTGCGCGACAAGCCCCATGTGAACGTGGGCACCATCGGCCATGTGGACCACGGCAAGACCACACTGACCGCGGCCATCACGAAAAGTAAGCGGGTTGCAGAGGGGGCATCGGGCAGCGCCCGCTCTGCAAGCGGGACCTGCAGCCCGGGAGGCGGGGCCCGCACAGTGGCCGCTGGAGGTGTTTAGTGTAGCCCCAGGAGCCAGAACTCCAGTGGGTGGGGGGTGGGGCTGGAAGATTTCTGTTCGGGAGACAGATTTCCCCTGAACAGAAGAACTTTGTGGTGCATAAATTGGGGGACCCTCAATGGCCTCCCTCTAGCCATAGGGACCGCCCTGTAAGCGGAGGCTTTACCCTAGAACATCGGTTCTCAACCTGTGGGTCACGACCCCTTTGGCGGTCGAACGACCCTTTCACAGGGGTCGCCTAAGACTATCCTGCATATCAGGTATTTACATGACGATTCATCACAGTAGCAACGTTACAGTTATGAAGTAGCAACGAAAATAATTTTATGGTTGGGTCACAACACGAGGAACTGTATTTAAAGGGCCAGAAGGTTGAGAACCACTGCTCTAGAAAGTCGCTAAACATGACCTTCAGGCCTTTCTTTCTGACTGGTGATCTCTGCAGAAGTTGAGGGAGGGTCCATCCCCAGGCTGTCCCATTAAGGTTGTGTAAGTGGGAGGGACCTAGGCATGTGCCCTGAGCCCCGCCTCTACCTCTGGAACTATAGCTGAGAGCTGTGTTCTCTTGCCTTCCCCCTTAGTTTTAGCGGAGGGCGGTGGGGCCAAGTTTAAGAAGTATGAAGAGATTGACAATGCCCCGGAGGAGCGAGCCCGCGGCATCACCATCAATGCAGCTCATGTGGAGTACAGCACTGCTGCCCGCCACTATGCCCACACAGACTGTCCCGGTCACGCAGATTACGTTAAGGTGAGAGCATTGCTGGGACAGGCCAGGAGCTGCCTCGTCAGGAGAACCGTTAGGCTTGTGGGAGGAGCTTAAGATACTCAAGATGTTTAGGTTTAAGATCATGGACTTGTGGGCATGGCTGATCAAAGTGGGTGGTGAGATGGCAGAGAAAGGTGAGCCTCAGTTCCTAACGGCTGTGCTTGGCTAGATGGATGTGGAGCTGAGGTCACTGAACGAGGCTGCGTTTCCTCCCCTACCCAGAATATGATCACAGGCACTGCCCCCCTTGACGGCTGCATCCTGGTGGTGGCAGCCAATGATGGCCCCATGCCCCAGACCCGAGAGCACTTACTACTGGCCAAACAGGTATGCGGCGCCTGGGTAGGAGTGGAAAGAGGAAGCGTGGGGAGTTGGGCCACTAAGGACACCATCTCCCTCTTTCCCATCTGCAGATTGGAGTAGAGCATGTTGTGGTGTATGTGAACAAGGCAGATGCTGTCCAGGACTCTGAGATGGTGGAGCTAGTCGAGCTGGAGATCCGGGAACTGCTCACTGAGTTTGGCTACAAAGGGGAGGAGACCCCGGTCATCGTAGGCTCTGCCCTCTGTGCCCTTGAGGTGAAGGCAGGGTCAGGCAGGGGCTGCTGTGGCAGAGGATGGGGCGGGATAGGCATCCGGAGCTGTGCTCTGAGTCTGGGGGGTAGTAGTAGTTCTTGGTAAGCAGAATGGGAACTTCAGAGTCCTGTCATACCCCTCCCCCACCCCTTCCAGCAACGTGACCCCGAGTTAGGCCTGAAGTCTGTGCAGAAGCTGCTGGATGCTGTGGACACTCACATCCCAGTGCCCACCCGGGACCTAGAGAAGCCTTTTCTGCTGCCTGTAGAGTCAGTTTACTCGATCCCTGGTGAGGACCCTGCTCATTTGCATTCTCTCCCCCTAACGAGAGCCTTGCCCAAGGTCCCTAATGTCCTTTCTTGTTCCCTCCCAGGCCGGGGCACGGTGGTGACAGGTACGCTAGAACGTGGAATTTTGAAGAAGGGCGATGAGTGTGAGTTCCTGGGACATAACAAGAACATCCGCACTGTGGTAACAGGTATGGGCAGAAAGCCTGAGACCCAGGGGCTGGCTCCAGGATGACCTCCTGCCTTGCAGACCGTGCCTTCCCTCTGCTCCAGATGGTCCTCCCTTTCTCCTCTTCCCCCCTCCTAGGAATTGAGATGTTCCACAAGAGCCTGGAGAGGGCAGAGGCAGGCGATAATCTTGGGGCCCTGGTTCGAGGCTTGAAGCGGGAGGACCTGAGACGTGGCCTGGTTATGGCCAAACCAGGTTCCATCCAGCCCCACCAGAAGGTGGAGGCACAGGTGAGGCTTGGGCATAGGACAGGGCTGGCTGAGACGGATTGTCCCCTAGAGGCAGTGCTTCTAGCCACTTGCTCTCTTTTCCAGGTTTACATCCTCACCAAAGAGGAAGGTGGCCGCCACAAGCCCTTTGTATCCCACTTCATGCCTGTCATGTTCTCCCTGACTTGGGACATGTCCTGTCGTATCATCTTGCCTCCAGGGAAGGTATGGTGGGTACAGGGATGGGATGTGAAGGAGCGCTCTTCATATTAGGCCTGCGTCACTTACAGTTCCAAAGATGTGACAATGCGGGTGACTTTTCCTTGGGTGAAGAGAAGCTGGCTGATAATGTAGATCAGTGGTTCTCAACCTTCTGGCCCTTTCCTTGGATGAAGAGAAGCTGGCTGATAATGTAGATCTGTGGTTCTCAACCTTCTGGCCCTTTCAATAC